GGGGGGGGTGTTCTAGAAACACTCCATGGGGTGCATTAGGGTATAATGACAAACAAAAAAAATTCAAGACGCATGCTGTGGAGCTTTAGAGGGAGTTTAAGGGGCGTGGTGGTTCTAGAAACACTCCATGGGGTGCATTAGGGTATAATGACAAACAAAAAAAATTCAAGACGCATGCTGTGGAGCTTTAGAGGGAGTTTAAGGTCCGTCCTGGTTCGGCCCGCCATGCATGGAGCCACCCGCTAGTTGACTGCTGCGCTACTGCATTCCTGTTTTGTATCTACAGGTGCATCTCGATAAATTAGAATATCGTAGCAAAGCTCATTTTTTTCTGGAGTTCCATTCGAAAACAGAGCAAAAGCCCAATTCCTAACCAAGTCATTACCGCACTGCAATAAATGTATGAGTTTCGCACGATATTCAAATTCACACAGCCACGTCAGTCACGTTCCCTAATAGATGACATGCAAAATCCTACCTTCGACTTTTTGCTGAAAAGCCAAAAGTTTTTGCCTCGGTTCTTGCCCAAAAGGTCAATGGAGGCCTTGGGCGTCCCCAGACTACTGTCTGACGATGCTCGATTGATGCCTTGACTGTAGTCCTCGAATTCCACATCGCCCGGACGCTCAAAGCCCGACTTGTTCTGCTCGATGACCACCAAGGTGTCCTGAAAACGCGCCGTGCGAGAGACGACCGGCTGTTATTCTGCAGCGCTTGTTTCGAGTCAATACAAAGCGTAAGCGACTCACATTTTTCTCATTGACGTTCGTGCCGGCTTTGGTGATGCCATCCAGGCACTTGCCGATGATGGGCATCACCTGCTTCTCTGTGTCCGAGAACAAGATGTAGCCCTGCGCCAACTTCCGCATCCGCCGCTCGTCCAGTTCTTGCATTTTCTAGTGCACGCGTGCGGTTTTACTGCATATTGACTCCAATCGACATCTTTTGTGAGACGAATGGCACTCGTGACTTTTGCGCAGATTCCAAATGACTTACATTAAAGATGAGCGGCATGTCGGTGAAATAGAACTGCTTCTGTTCCTTGTTGAACTTTTGAAGCTGAGCGGCGTAATCGTTCTTGCACTCCTCTGCGGTGTGCGCTCGCATGTGAGCTTGTTGCTTGGCCTTTTCCGTGAGCGGACACAAAGAAAGACACAGAAAACCTGAGAATGGACATTCAATTCATGGCGCCTGAATCAACCCCGCCCCTCCTTAGTTTTCACCTTTTCTACATCCGCCTTGGTGGCATTGATGTCCTGATCCGTCTTTTCCGCGCTCTGCGCCGCGCGCTCTGCCTCTCGCCATTCCCGCTCAAAGCGCTTTTTACTCTGGAAAGACGGAAAGCACAGAGGAGGAAGAACGTTAGCAACGCGAGCACGGTTGATTCAAAAACGTACGGACTGGAGTGAAGACTGTGATTTACTTTTTTTTTTTTGAAAGGACATCATATGGACTGAGCCCTTGTTGTGGTTGTCGTGGAACAGTTTTGGCGGCTCTCAGTTTAGAAGGATACTGTATTTTCCGCACTAAAAGGCGCACCTAAAAGCCTTCCATTTTCTTAAAAGCTCACAGCGCGCCTTAAAATCCGATGCGCCTTGTGGATGGTCATTACGGTAATATTTCGACCCCAAAATGGCTCCTCGCTCGAGACATGCTGACAACGCAGAGTTCAAACTTAAGGCGATCTGTTACACAGTTGAACACGGAAATAGAGCAGTGGCAAGAGTTCAACGTTAACGAGTCGATGGTATAACTTGCTCTTGGTTAAGTGAACTGTGTCGCTGCTTTATTAAATAAGTTTTATTGACATCTGATTGTTCTGTTGGCGTTTCCTTGAGTGTAGCTCCATCTCGTGGAGGCATTGTAGATTGCGTCTTATAATGCAGTGCGCCCAATGTATGAAAAAAATTACAAAATAGGCCAGTCATTGAAGGTGCGCCTCATAATCCAGTGCGCCTTTTAGTGTGGTAAATACGGTACATTTTTTTTTCCCCCTTTTTAATCCTCATGTTGTGTTTCAAAGGTCAACGGAACCGGCTGCATGCAATTCGAATGTGATTTGTTTTTATCAAAACGTTTTTTTAAATCTACATTTTTAACAAACATACAAGGTGTTTCATATCAACTGTAAATATTAAACTTTTTTTTTTAATTCTTATGACGTTTTTATGATACTTTATGGAGTTATTAACTTTCTTGATTGCCTTCGGGACGTCATGTCATTCGACTGTGGGTTCAATTTTACACCTCCCATTCATGCGTCGACGACCCAAGACCACACTTACAGTTTCGAGTTGCTTGTTGGTGCTCTCCAATGCCTGCTGGGCCTTCTTGGCCTCCATCAGATACTGCAGACAGTTATAAAAATAGAATCAGCGAGGTGGGAAGGAAGGATTGGGGGTTGCGGGGGTGTTGGGGGCGAGGGGGGTTCATGTGACAGGAGGGGGAGACGGCCGCGCGTGAGCGCAGGGTAAATAGTGACAACACGATGGAAAAAAATAAATAAAATAAAAATGGAAAAAAGGACAAATGCCAGTGTGTCTGCCTGAGACGTCTCGTCTGCTGTCACGTCTGATAATCCGATGAGACGGAGCCAAGGAATGACTCCGCGCCGAGAGACGCCACGTCACTGCACATCCAGTTTGGCTTCAATGAACCTCCAGAATGTCCAGACCACCATGACGCACGTCAACTGCACCAGATATCGACGTGCCGTGACGTTGCTAAAGTATTGGAACACTTCTACGGGAAGTTAACTTTCTCAATATATATATATATATTTTTTTTAATTGCACACAAGCTCGTTTCTAGTTCCTCCTAAAAATTCCATTGTCAATAATTGTACAACTCACTCACGGGGGAAACTAAGGAAATGAATCAATCACTTTGATTGCTTCATGAATCGATGAGGAGGTGTGTCTCAATACTTTTGAGCACATACCCTGCAAGCCGCGCTTCCCAGAGGCCCTATTTCCTATGTGATCGCCAAAATGACCTTTTGAGCATAAGACAAGACCCCAACACACGCTCGCCTTTCGCGCCGAACATCATGAAGACGACCACAAGGTGTAGTTATCGCGCCGACGTTGAATTGACTCGGATTCGCGCAAGGCCGCCTTTTCTCAGCTCACCGACTTTCGCTCCTGCTTGAGCTCCTGCAGGTACTTGGTGAGGTCGGCGCAAATGTTCATCAGCATGTTCTCGGCCACCAGCTCCCTCTGGCCCGCGTAGTCGTTCATCTCGTTCAAGATGTCCATAAACGACTGGTAGCTGGTGAGCCTGACCGTTGCGGGGAGGAAATGGAGGGATCAGGAACACGGCCAGGGCGGTTTGAGATAAGAGAACGCGGTGCACACGCTCAAAGGGAAGCCGCGAAAAAGAGCTTTGCGATGGTTTTGTTCCACGTTCAAACTCATGACAGGAAGTTACAGTTATATAGGACATACACTATATCAATGTGTGTGTCTGTGTGTGTCCACAAATTTGAAATTGAAATTACATTTTACACTAAGTGCAATCCACAAAGTGCATTAATAATTAATACTTTTTCCAATTTTAGTGGAATAAGATTGCTGGATCGCAGAGGATGTGCCATTCGAAATTGACTGCACTTTGTTTTTTGTTTTCTCGCTCACCTGCCGTCTGGCTCATCTTTGCCGATCCGTTTTAGATTAAATTTCTTTGAGAGGTTCCTGAGAAAAGACAAAAGTGTATTTTAAAAAAAACAACAACAATGTGAAGAAATCTTAACAGCGTTTTTTTTTTTTTTTTTTTTGTTAAAACATGTTTAGTTTTTTTCTATCACACTATTTCTTTATCAATTGTCTTGCACTCGGGGCACAGGCAACATACTCAAAACCACCGAGATGTGTTCCAATACTTCTGTCCAATTATGTAACATTTCTATGTACAGTGCCTCGGACATTTGGGGTCAACAAAAGTAAAAGTCGAATGACATCATGCAGAAACTCATCAAGTGCCCACAACAACCGCAGTATACTATTTAAAAAAAAAAAAAAAAAACGTCCTGTTCCTGGTGCTGCTCTTCCTGCGACCATATCCTGCGTGTCATGTGCCCGTCTGCTCCCACTTCCTCAGCGAGTGGGAGCAGCGAGCACAAGGAGGGAGCAGTGGGACTGCAGCTGGAGAATGAGGCCAGTGTGTTCCGATAAGAGTCATGAGACTAGACAAACACGCCATAAACAGCCCTTTCAGATGTGAACACACACACACACACACACACACACACACACGCCCACGCACACGCGCACGCACACACACACACACACACACACACACACACAAAACATACACAGACACAGACACACACACACACACACACACACACTTAGAACCAATGATTTAGAAGAAGGACAAGGCCCACCTCAGCTGCTTGGCATAGTTCTGCTCGATCTCTGTTCTCTCCTTCACAAATTTCACATACTTCTCCACCAGCTCTATCCCGGAGTGCGTGTGCTTCTCGATGACGTCACATCGGTCCTTAAAAATAAAAAGAAAATAATAATTTAAATAGCGCACCAGGGACCGATTAGGGGAAAAAGAAGACGCTGCAGGATGTGAATCATGTTGCGATAATGCTGCGCCAGCTGGAATGCCGACAAGAATCTTGCTTTCATGTCGTATGGTAGACATTCCCACCGCGTGTAGCAAAGTAGCGTTGTTACAGTCAAACGCGCCAATAAACTCCTTGTATCAGATTCCCTTCAGAAAATTTCCCGACGTGTTGCAAAGTCTGCTGCAATTTGCAGGTTCGTGGCCACGTGTGGAGCCAAACTCATTCCAGCACATCCTCGTGTCCATTTCAACGGCAGCATTCCCAAATGTCCAAATAGTCGCCATTTATAGAGAAAGTAACCATATTTGGTCACTTGGAACCTCGATAACATGGACACCGCCCAAGTCGCGAGGACACACGAGAATCATGTGAGGGAGGGAAGGCCTGGATGTTAATGGCAGAATAATACAAACATAATTAACGACACAAAGTAGATATCGTTATTATAATGTACATACAGTACTCGTATAATGATCAAAATGTGTGTTACTCAAGCAAATAAAGTGGTTCCAAAAAAAATAAAATTCCCGGAGTTTCAGGCATCAGGCTTTTTGAAAAATGTGAAAGCTGATAAGAGATCAATTTAAAACTGGGTTAATTTCGGGGAACTGTTTCTTTTTTTATTCCTTTTATTGATCTCATTTTTGTTGAACATTTTTCAGGAATATTTCAACACTGGAAAACTTGACTTACTGAAGAAAACTTTAGGTAGGTATTTATTCTTTTAGGTTTTCATATTACTTAAGACATTCTGACCACCGTGGAAGCGCCATGAACTCTTTGCTCGGATTTTAAAATGCTTTTAAAAAAAGAAAAAAATACAAAAGTCTTCTCTACTCGAATATGTTTTACGCAACCCTACTTGTCCAAACACGGCCTTCTGATTCAAATTTTATTGGTGGAATATGAGTTCAGCAGTAAAACCAACCCATTTTTTTTTGTGTGCAGCTCAGGGGGGGGTGGCGGCCATTTTGCCTCTTGCTGTCGACTGAAAATGACATCACAGTTGCTCAGGCCTCAGGTCACAACCCAAACATGGCCCAGCTTCTAAAAAGCAAGTTGAGCCGCGATTGGTCGTTACCCCGAGGTGCATCCGGGTCCACAATAACACAACAAAGAAGCTCAACGTGACCTTTGTAAACTCATCGGATTATATTGTGATCACATTACGGTGATGAGGCCGACGCTCATCGAATGCGGCCATTTTATGACGCATGACAACAACAAATTGTTGACAAATGTAGCCGAAAATAAGGCTGCGTTTCACTTCAGCTTGACATTCTCTGCCTGGTGGAAACGGAGTTCCATCATCTAAGGGCGCACGCTCAGACAAGCCGATCATGAGTGGGTGACGAGATCGCCGATGCCCTCAGGCTTCATTTGCGCTGCGTGATTGGATTGAGATGGTGGGCGGGAAATTGAACAACAGGGTGGGGGGAAGGGGGGGGCTGACAAGTTAGGCCAAGCCCTTCTCCACCCTTCCGCAGATGACATTTTGACTAATTACAGAACAGAGTAAAAGGTTAAAGACTGGCGTTAAAAACAAAAAGGTCATCTGACTGGCCGTGACGTTTGTTCAAACGCCCCACTGAGGTAATCCCGCACCACGCTACGGAAGAGTGTACCGCTTTACTGGGAGGCCTAAAAATGAAAATGGTAAAAAAAAGGCAGCCCACTCGTGCGGATGATCCGTAACGCGCAAAATTTAATGTCAGCTGACCGGTCCGCCTGAAGCTGTCAGCATGAAATATCAACACGTGGTGCGATTTATTCATGGTAATTATGTTGTCGGGAACATTTCTGGACAACAGGGCCACATCATTGTGTGTCACAACTTGATATTATTATTTTGAACTGAAAGCTCGAGCGTTTCAACACATTTCACAGCATATTCAGGAGCCGGTTCAAGGATGTGGTTTTGAGGGAGAGTCGGTCAGCCAATTTACACGTGTCAAAAATTCGGCCTTGACAAACATGATACTGCGCAGCTTTATGTCAAACCTCCTTGTTGCAAATCATCATTCCACATTGAAATGGATGGAAATGCCATGAATGTGTTCCACCTCAAAAAAATGGGACATGGAAAATTGTATTTAGCGTTGGGCAATGTTGAAAAAAAAATACTCATAATTATTTTGAATGATATTGAAAAAAAACACAATTATTGACTGATTTCAAAACGTAGCATTTATTCCAAGTACCGAAACGCAACGTGAAATATAACTTCCAAGAGCAAGGACAACATATATTAGTTACAAAGTCGTATTTCCACACAAATTTCCCCAGTGTGGGACAAATAAAGGTTATCTTATCTTATCTTATTACAATAAAAGCAAATGCAAAGAATGAGACAAACTTGAGAGGACTGTATAGCGACACAAGTTTCGCCCCATCGATGAGGTCACTCAGAGTTCATTCACGGAGGGCAACAAGCCCATATCGATCCTCAATCACGTGACTTAGCATTGATTGTGATTGTGATTCCTCAAGTACAAAACTATTAGCGTGACAATTATCTCGCAAGTCACCTGAGCAGCTGATCAAGACGTGACGCTCTGTATCCATCCCCCCGCTAAAGGCCCTCTTAGCGCTCACGAGTATGTTAGCGCGAGCCGCCGCACTGGTTTTGCACACCGCACGCCTTTAAATAGCAGCGGGATTAAGTGAGATCAGTGGACAGATGCCAGACAAGTGACTGTCGAGGTAAACATTCATAGAACCGGTGACGGGGGAACCTCCGCAATGCGTTCGATGACACCGGTTCACTTCCGAGTCGTTCTTCAAAACCAGATTTCCTGTTGCTGATCAATGTAGTGAATTGATTTTTGCCATCAGGAAACCTCAAACTCTACCTTCTGACTATTGCTATTGAAGTGTAAAAATATATTAGCCAGTAGTATAAAACTAAAATAAAGTCAAGCTTATCACAACACAATAACACATGTCGACAAACAATATAACAAAACGCACTGGCATACATTCTTTATCCTCTGCAGAAAATGGCTAACACGACTCATATAGCAGCTTAAGGAGTCACTGATTTAGGACTGCTGACTAGCTTAATGCTAAAACACAATGCTAAATATCATAGACAAGCTAATGGATAGCATCGATGATCACAGTGTTATAACCTTTTAGCAAGGCACAATGGCCACGGGCATTCGACGCTGGCCATAGGGACCAAGTCTGACTGTGAATAGAAAAAAATAAAACGCAAATAATCGACACTCACTGTAATGGATTGCCATACCCCCCCCTCCCCCACCAAAAAAATAGCAGGTGACGGAGAATACTGCAAATAAGTGGAGTAAAGAACGTCCTCTTCACACTGCCGCTCCCACCGTCCAATCGAAGCAGGGCAAAACTAATTAGGCTGTTGCACAAGCAAGCAGAACAGAAAACGGGACGGGAAACGTGGCCCGAGGGGGGGAAACCGCTGAAATGAGGCTGCAGCCTCCCAAGTCTTTATCTCTTCAATGCAATTCAGCCTGTCAAGAGAATGTGCATGCACAAGTTGCCTCCATGACGTCACTCACGTATGCGCTTACTATTTGTTCGACTCGTTGTGGCGTTGTCTAACAAGCTGCGAATAGCTGCAGCGGGTTGATGCTGACGGAACCGATTACGTGACCGCCAGCTGAAAGAATGCACTTTGTGGACTAAGTGTGGAAAAAATGGTATTAAAAAAAAAAAAAGTGTGGCAACATAGCACTCAGGGCAAGAGAAATCGTGCCTATTAAGTGCTTTGCGGCCATGTGTGTCACAGTTTTAGGCCCTGTTGAGTAGGAAATGGAAATGGAAACAGGGCATGAGAAGCGTTGCGATTTAAATGACTCCGCTACTTTCAAGATACGAGCCATCGTTCTGCTGATAGTCAATTTTTGTTTTTTTTAATTTTTGCTCTGACTTGCGAGCGCAGAATTCAGATACAAGGGTTGTATGGTGCCAGTGACTCAACGTCACAATAATCAGCAGTGTGATGCAATTAGCCAACAATTCCTGAAAAAGGCTTTGAGCTTTTTATCGCCACTCCCAGTTCAAGTTTACGATCAAAAGAAACGCGAAACAAAGAGAATTGCGTCTTATGCAATTAAAACAACCACATAGCTGAGCCTTTCAGTCGACGCGTTAACCGCTAACGCTAAATAGCAATGTTTGAAGCATTTAAGCAACGGATTGCAATTTCTTTGATCGCAACACATGAGGACAGACATCCGAACAATACTCCCATTTGTTCTTTATCCTCTATGTGGAACGGATAATATTAGTATCGTACTGATGAACTGAGAGAGGAATTCAGGCGCTTCAAGGAACAGTACATTCATTTGTCTGTTTTTTTCTGCCCCCGGGTGGCCAATGCCAACAAACCAGAAGGAGCAGCGCCATGACCATTTAGTTGACGCCGTGTGAATTGACCCACATGACTTCAGACGAAAGACGGGTTACACGACAGATTGGTTGCCGGTAGTCAACCAGACGGCCATTCGCATTGAACCCATGCTGAATCCAAAGAAGCGACTGAACAAATACACTTCGAGGCGAGACGTGTTTCGTTTTTGGGTCTAAGAGCGGTGAAGTTATTTTTACACTTGTATGACAGCTAAGCACATATTCATTCATGGCGTCCACTCGCCTTCAGCGAGTATCACTCTCTCCACTTTCTTCATTGTTACATTAAGGGGTCAGTACATTGTAGGGCTGAACAGTTAATCAAATTAAAATAGGCGTTGCAATAGTTGCAATGCTAAACCACAGATTTGTGTGCATTATGGTCGCAATCTGACAATTTTGTATAGTTGTCATAGCGACGCCTAATAAGAGTACAAGTGAAAGTTCTAACCTACAAAACCAAAGTAATTATGTATAGTAAATCTTACATTGTTTATTGTCACACAAATATGTCAAGAAGACCTTGAAAAAGAATCACCTTACAAATCGCAATCATAATGTTGAGGGGGGGAAACAATTCTGATTTTTTTTTAATTGCTCAGCTCCAGCACAATCAGTGGATTGTTTCATTATACGGCAGTTAACTTATTTTGTACATTGAATCAAGGTTTCATGATGGTTTACAAACGGACTGTGGTGCCATTCCACTTTATTCAAAACATTCAAAAGCAGTACAGTGCACGATCACCGTTGTGAATTGACCTTTAGATGCAATTGTTTTAGTGTCTGCCATAAACCTCAAAGCAGCAAGTAGGATGTCCACTAGCCCAGAATTACAATTATTATTGAACAATTCATTTACGACCACGTAAGCTTCCGCCATTGTGAATGACAATGGTGAGACCAAATGTTTAACGCACGCGAATGCGATTTACAGTTGAAGCGCGTCCAAATAAAGGTTGTTTTCAAATGAAAATAAAACTGAGCATGCGGTGTCATCACTATGGAAGCCAAGTGTCAACAAGGAAACAACACAGTATTCCCGGTGGCTGCAACGTAACCCCTGCGGGATACCATGTAGGCGCATGCACGAAGTAGCTTTTAAGTGTAGAACATTTGAAAGAGGTGACGTGACAACTTTGATGTGGAATCACACTGCAAGTGATGTTCCGACATAACACGAGGGACAACCTGCACGACCTCCTGAGTCCCAACATACAAAAACGAACACGGATTTTTTTTTTCATCTCGTGTACCTAATAAAGTGCCTGTGATCGTGCAAACGTGTACAAACTTGGCCACCCGTTGACAGTGAACGCACCATCCCCAGGAATTAAAGCAAAAAAATAGCAGCGAGTGAAACACAACCCAAAAACGAGCCAAGAGTCCTCCCGGCCGCGTTGCTTATTCGGCAGTGACTCACCCAAAGCTCAGTGCCCCAGTCCATGTTGAGCCCGCTGGCCAAGGTCTCTCGACCGCCCTGAATACAAAGAACTTCTCCAAAGTTCTCCGAGTATAATCCCCCAAAGGCGGGCGGAGGAACACTTTCTGCCCGTCGTCGCGCCTCCGCGGCGTCGCTCGCGTCCTTCAACAAGTCACGTAAAACAGTAACATAATTGGCTAATTAGGGCCGTCTGACAGCCGTTCGTCTAGTTCGTCCAAATATTTTTCATAGCGAAGGAAAGAAGGATAAACTCAACTGGGTTTCATATCCGCGTCACTCCCAAATCCTTGCAACCCTTAAAGGGCCAGCGCACACAAGTCTGACTGCATGACCACGTCCCGCCTGCACCGGCGCGCGCGTCCTAGAACGTGCAGTGCGTTGACGCGCACGTCGGGCGTCACGTGATATCCGGCTCGCACACGAGCCGGACACAACAGTAGGGACACCTAGTGTCCACTGCTCGCACTAAATCTGTGTTGTTGTTTTTTTGTCCAATCAGAATTTTAATATCTCTAATCTGTCCAAGGCTTTCACAAACATTTGCCAGCACAACTGAAGGCGACGTAGCAACGGGAGTTTCTTTCACCGGATTGGCTTCAAAGCTAATTTGGCCCTTATGACGTCAACATTAGCCCATGCTCTGATTTGTTGGTCAAAGCAAAACTTGACACAGCCATCTCAGCAGAATGTTGGGCTCTTTTTTCCATTTGTTTTTTGTTTTTGAATATACAGAAGTAATGGAACTGCCAATGTGGAGTAAACATTTTTGACCTTGCATTCACCTTAAAAAAAACTATAATTTGGGGGGAGGGGTTTGTTTTTTATCATTATTTTTTTAATTATCAGAAGGGGTTGAATTTTTTTATTTTTGGGGGAATAATTGTCTGTCATTAAAAAAATAATAGTGATTCTGACCTGACGTACGTGGCATTGTCGATTTTTATGTTGTCAATTTGCAGTGATGTAGTGCTACAATGTGAAAACTTGATGTATTATTTCAGTGTGCTTTTTAAATGGGAATAGGCAGCACAGTGTAGCAACCTTTATTGAGCCAAGGTACATATTTTACATGAGAAAAATCTCATGCCGCCCCACCCCAAGAAAATAAGGAAAATAAACAAGATTAAGTCTCAATTTGAGTCTCAAATCTGAACCCGTTCAGTTGATCACAGAGCTTGTGTAGTCAGAGGAATTCATGAATGATTTTGTTGGATGAAATGTAAATGCATATTCAAAAATGCAACCACTAAAGTGGTCAAAATATTCTAGTTCAAAAGACATTATGTCCCAAAATAAAGCGGGACAATAAATACTGACATATTTATTGAAGTACTCACCATATAAGTTCACCTTTTAAAATTTTGGTATTTGCATATATTTCCAATGACTGAACAATTTGTTAGTTTTATGAAAAACAGACCCTTAATCCCCTTACCCAATGCCCGCCACGTCCTTCCTGTCCCAGCCTCAGAACACTGAGGAGTGTATCCCCACTTTGAGAAGCTCATTCGATAGAGGTTCATTTCATGAGAGAGTGAAGTGGATGTATTCTCTATGTCGCCAAACTGTTCCCAACATGGCTGTTTCCGAGGGGGATGCTGTCAGGCCGGTTCTTGAAACTGTACTGGCCCTGTCGCTTCCTGTTCAAGCAGATAAAGATCACAGCGAGGACCACAAGCAACACGAATGCACACGCCGAAAGGACTGCCACAAGGACTGGATTGCTTTCGGGGGTTGGAGTGATTTCGGTGACCGGACTGCTTTCAGGGACCAGACCTCTTTTGGGCATCGGGCTGCTTTCGGGGAAAGGGCTGCTTTCAGGGACAGGACTGCTTTCAGGGACAGGACTGCTTTCAGGGAAAGGGCTGCTTTCGGGGACCGGACTGCTTTCGGGGACCGGACCTCTTTTGGGCATCGGGCTGCTTTCGGGGAAAGGGCTGCTTTCGGGGACCGGGCTGCTTTCGGTGACCAGACTTCTTTCAGGGGAAGGGCTGCTTTCAGGGACAGGACTGCTTTCAGGGACCAGACCTCTTTTGGGCATCGGGGTGCTTTCAGGGACTGGGCTGCTTTTGGGGACCGGACTGCTTTCAGGGACCAGACCTCTTTTGGGCATCGGGCTGCTTTCGGGGACCGGGCTGCTTTCGGGGACCAGACTTCTTTCAGGGGAAGGGCTGCTTTCAGGGACAGGACTGCTTTCAGGGACCAGACCTCTTTTGGGCATCGGGGTGCTTTCAGGGACTGGGCTGCTTTTGGGGACCGGACTGCTTTCAGGGACCAAGCTGCTTTCGGGGACTGTACTGCTTTTGGGGACCGGACCTCTTTTGGGCATCGGGCTGCTTTCAGGGACCAAGCTGCTTTCGGGGACTGGACTGCTTTTGGGGACCGGACCTCTTTTGGGCATCGGGCTGCTTTCAGGGACCAGCCAGCTATCAGGGACCGGGCTGATTTCGGGGACTGCAAGCGAAAGAATATTGAAAGAGACGCAAAAGACTGTTGGAATCCATTTCACAACAATTGAATTAGAAAAGACTGAATGTGCTTACATTCAACTATGATGTTCATGGAAGAGTTGCGCAGGAAGACGTCATACGGCTCCAGGTTCAACTCAGCTTGGCAAGTGTAAATTTGGCCGTTTTGGTCTCCGCTCGCCCAAATGGTCAAGGAATCGGAGATGTTGTGCAGGGTCACGTCGATGTCATCCGATGATCGGTCACTATAGCTGACACTTTTTACAATTTCGTCACCTCGCAGCCACTTGACGGTCAACTTGTGCACAGGGGCCACATTGACGATGTCACAAACAAGACTGTAACGGTTGCCCGCCAACATAGGACCAGATTCAGGCTCCACGTAGGCCCTCACATCTGGAATCTCTGTCAATTCAACAAAATGTTGCCATTTCAATCACCTTTTTCTAAAATTCAGATCACGTCGGCGCACCACTCACCGTAAAAAACGATGGGAGGCAGCACGTAACATTTAGTAAGGTCCAACTCGTCAATGTAGCACCGACGTTTGGTGCTCCAGTCTTTCAGAGTGCCATTGACGATGGTCATCAGAAATTCTATGAAGTAGCCTTCACGCGTTTCGTTCCATAACTTGTCCCAGACACGACGAATGTTTGTGTCGCAGCGTTGGGACCCCGGGTCATTCAACTTCTTCATGCTGTTATGATACGAATCCGCTAGAGGGCAAGCTAACATTGATACAAACACCCTGTTAACCAGTGCTTTATATCATGTCATATTTTTATTTCTAAAAGCAGATTTAACATTGTAAGCCACTGTAACATTTGACGAACATTAACAGGGCGTTCAAATAAAGGGGGAAAAACTGAATTCAAATCTTGCTACGTTTCAATATATTCCATATAAAAGTTGTATGTAACCAAATCAATATTTTTTTAAAGATGAAACGCAAATGTTTGCAATTTAGAAGTTGATTACCACTTAACTAGAGTCAGCCGGTCATCCTTTCATGTAACACGAGAGAAAGACGACGTACCACTGGCAGTACGAATATCAGTCACACGTTGAGAATCTCCAGATGAAATGTTCACCTGCAAAAAGTTCTGCTTGCGCGGGAGTGACTTTGATGTGATGAATGAAGAAACCCATCCTTTTGCCAGAATGGTCACTGGTGGCCCAACATTCATAGATTTGGTTTATATTGTAATAAGGGGTGTCTTTCCACTTCCTCCTCAAACGAATCGGTTCCATTGCACAGAAGAGAGTGAAATTGAAATCCCGTTGCTCGAAATCCAGAAGAGCTGGAGAAGAAAAGGTCGACGTTATCCAACGCACGCCACTTTTAGGAGTTGCACTCTAACATGCACACCCGGAAACTCACACGGCCCGGCAACAACTAAGCCGCGCTTGGAAACGTTATACACAACATCGACGATTGCACACATTCATGTCACAAAAGGGATTGAATCATGAAAAGATTGAGTGGGCTTACATTCAGCTGGGATGCGGATGGAATAGTTGCGGCGGATGACGTCGTATGGCTCCAGGTTCAACTCAGCTTGGCAAGTGTACATTTCTCCGTTTTCTTTGTTTCGCTGAACGGTCAAGGAATCGGAGACGTTAAACTGGGTCACATTGGAATTGTCGATTGAGTGCTCGTGAAAGCTGGCGCTGCTTTTGATTTGGTCGCCTCGCAGCCACCTGACGGTCAAGTTTTGCACCGGGGCCACGTTGATGACATGACAAGTAAGATGGAGACTGTCACTGTTGGCCTCCGAATCCATCGAGACCGTCACATCTGGAATGTCTGCAAATTGAACAAATGGTGTTTTTTTTTTTTCCCCCCCATCACATTTTCTCATTTCAATTCTTGTCATTGCTCTACTCACTGTAAAAAACGATAGGAGGCAGAATGTAACATTCCTTGAAGTCTGGAAACTCAATGTCTGAAAACTCATCGTAACAATGTTGCTTTGAGCGCAACTCCTCCAATGGTTCACCGTTGACCGCGGTGATCAGATCTTTCGTGACTTGTCCTCCCTTTGTTTCATTCCAGAGCGTGTCCCAAATGCGACGAATGTTGCTCTCGCAGCGAATGGACGCTCGGTCATGAGATATTCCCAGGTATTTCGGGAACAAATATTCTAGAGGGCAAACTGGCATTGGACAAACAGCATGTTCATCACTCCATGGCGAAAACAGTCGCAATGGGTGATGGTCAGTATTGGTTCAGAAATCAATCAAGAAAAATAAACTAATCACTGAGTGGGTCTGAACAGAACAATTTTGTTTTCTTGTTGAAAAAAAAAAAGGGAATTTAACCCTTTCAGGGACAGCGGCTACTACGGTGACAGCTTATCATGTTATCAGGTTACAGGATGCGGGTTTAAAAAAAAAAAACTTTCAGTATGATGTCTATTTAATTTTGCTTGTCTCTGACATGTACTCGCTCAGATATTCCACGAATGCGACCACTGTTAGGGTGTTTCTGTTTGTCACAAAAAGGTGGCACTGTAGGGGTCCTCCTGCAGTGGCACACCTGTTGGTCACAAACAGAAACACCCGAACAACCACACTCACAAGATGAAAATGATGTGCGACCAACATTTTGGTCTGTGCGGTGTAGCGGGACGAACGTTCACCTGGTTCACCTGCCACATGCACAGGAGGGGCTTCCATCACTAAGATGGTGAGTGGCATCCTTCTGTCGGAACGCTCGCTGGTGACCGTGCAGTTGTAAGCCTGGTGGGTGTCCGAGCCATCGTAGTAGACATGATGGGAAACCGCATTACAGAAGGGGATGAACTCGGGATCCGGTTGTTCTGAATTCGGAACAGCTGGAGAAGCAAAGGTCAACTTTATTGAAATGACGTGTCATCAAAATAGTCGTCTGATATGAACCATGCAGATCTGGTAAACTGTTGATCACTGGTTTCCATGACACTTTATGGATGAGTAGCACATATGTACAGCAAGGACCAAATTGATGTAACTAGTTACAATTACTCCATTACAATTACGAATGTGATTTTTTTTTTAATCAATCAATGTTTACCATACGCACTGTGACGGACAACAACAATACAGTATCCTGTGCTCTCTCTCTAAAAACGTCCACATTTCAGCCTACAACAACACCACTTGGAACTTGTGGTTTTTGATGATCTCGTTTCTCGAACAAAGACAACGAAATGAAGACAATTTAGTGTGACTGAATCTGACGTCATTTTATATCATTATTGTTGTAGTGATCGCGATAGTGTTGGACAATTTCACAAGATGCACATTCCTTGGTTACGTTTCGGTCTAGTTGACATTCAAACTGATACAAAAGAAGATGTCAAAAGTTACTCACCGGTTAGGCAGTATCTGATAAGTAGTACATATTTGTTCCCTTAATTTTGCACTTTTGTGTTTTGTTTATGGCTCGGCAAAACATGTCGTTTTAAAAGTGCTGACTTTAGAGAAATACGCACCATTGTCCAATGCATGACTTTTACTCACCATGTAATGCAGCCAAAAGTTGGAAGGTCACCAACATCCAAAGCACCATCCTTCCAGGTAAACGAAAAAAAAAAAAAAACCTGAAGGCGAAATGAAGAGTTTCACGAAATTTCAGAAGACAGCAATCTTCAGATCTACTCGCTTCTTAATCAGATGAAAGCTCCATGAAGAGTCTCCTTTTCATAATGTCTTGGCTTTCATCAGTTGCATAAACTCACGGGTCAACGCCCTCTTCACAGGAAATCTTAAAAAGGATGCGAGCTGTGAGGCAACCGCCGATGATTCACGGCCTCTTTTTCAAATGAGTTGACATCTTCAGCATTTTTGGAGGAAGGGTGGGAGGACATTTAATTGAGGTTTATATGATAGGAAATATAAAAATATGAGGCAGGTTCAGGACAATAAGTGAATATCAGTGGAGCATCCGCCAAAGCAGCAAAAAAAAAAGGGGAGGCCGATTGCGTAATGGTGTACCAAGCACGTATGTCCCAAAAAGCAAGAAGGGAAATCGTGAATGAGTAGGGACATTTTATTGAGTTTTACATGATCGGAAACATACAAACTGAAAATATGAGCCAGGGTCAGGACAATAAGTGAATATCAGTGGAGCATCCGCCGAAGCAGCAAAAAAAAAGGGGAGGTCGATTGCCTAACGGTGTACCAAGCACGTATGTCCCAAAAAGCAAGAAGGGAAATCGTGAATGAATAATCGCAATGTTCCGTTTTGCACAAAATATACAATACAATACAGTACATGCTGATTTATATTGCGCTTTCACAACAGCTGCAAGTATCAAGTATGAAGTACAACTTTATTGTCAAATGCAACATACAGCACGGACGATGACATTTCTTCCCTCTCACAACTTTCAACAAGAGGAGCCGCTGCGGGTATAATCGCAATGTTCCGTTTTGCACAAACTATAAAATACAATACAGTACATGCTGATTTATATCGCGCTTTCAAAACAGCTGCAGTTGTAAGTATCAAGTATGGAGTACAACTTTATTGTCAAAAGCAACATACAGCACGGATGATGAAATTTCTTCCCTCTCACAACTTTCAACAAGAGGAGCCGCTGCGGGTGCCCGCGCCGCCATCAAAAGAAAAGTTAACATGAAATGACAAAATAATACAAGACAAAGCGCTTAACAAAACAGTGAACGCAAAGTAAAATAATAAACACAACACATAACATAAAACACGGACAGTCGTGCAATCCTAACCACTTTTCCCTTATACGCTTTATTGTTAAGTTTGAGATGAAAGAGGAGAGAAACAAAGTGTCCTTTCACCAGTGGCTCAGAGACGTCATGTTCAAAATGTGCACACGTCGGCTGCAAGCTAAGTTTCAAAGTCAACAAGAAGCTGTCGCATCCAGTGATGAAAAAAAATGAGATTGTTTCACTTCTACTGTCCCATGTAAATCCATTCCAATCCCAAGCGGCGACTCTGAGTTCCAAATACCAGCCGCACCAACGTAGACTTTCCAACAGCGCCGACATCTCCACTGAACAAAACGAGGCTGTGAAAAATGCTGCCTATTACAGGCACAAAACACACAAGCACCCTTGGGCTGTCCAGCACCGAGTCAATGGCGCCGACATTCCTCCCAATCAAAATCTGTTCGGGTACAGGTGTGCTGCCGAAAAGGCACAACCACCAAGCACAGATTCTTCTTCAGGTTGTATGATTGCCTTTTTGCAACTGAGCCAGCAGAGGGCAATGTAACTCTACTCTGCATTGTTCGTGGTGAATGACGTAGTCAGCCATAGAAAACGGGCGTGCTGTTTCTCTTTTCTCTCTCTCTGCCTGTTGAAATCAATATGCCGGTGTATGGCTGAAGAAAACACCTATCGTGTCATTCTTAGGATGGTAGACAAAAGGATGTCAGTCGACAAGTGCTGTGAAGTAACCCTGCTGACACTTCTCCTTTGACGAATGTCATGGCCAAAACAAAACGCTGAAAACAGTCCACATCAGGTCCACACGACGTAATATCACCACCATGTGACAAAACAAAAGATAAAACCAACAAAAAAGAACTATATAGATCGATAGATAGATCGATCGATAGATCGAGAGATAGATAGATGCATTTTGGGAACAAATATTCTCGAGGGCAAACTGGCATTGGACAAACAGCGTGTTCATGACTCCATGGCGAAAAGAGGAGCAAGAGGTGATGGTCAGTGTTGGTTCATAAATCAATCAATAAAAATACGCGAAACACCGAGTGGGCCTGAACAGAATAATTTTGCTTTCTTGTGAAAAATGTTTGAAAAAGTTGGGAATTTAACCCTTTCCGGGATACCGGCGACGACAGTGCCCAGCTTATCATGTTATCAGGTGACAGGATGCATGATAGGGTTTAAAAATTGAATAGACAGTGTCAGGAGTCCTACTCAAAATACGGCTTGATCACAACGGGAGATTCCCACGCACCAAGCCCAGTCTGCATAATATGCGGCGATGGTGAGTCGTATTTTTCATGCACTTCGTATTTGCAGTCTCTTATTTTGAAGGCACGTCTAAACATTCCCATCGCGACCAGAGAGTGTTACGGCCAGATAGGATATTCCTCGTGTCGTGATTCGTTTTTATGATTATGCTTTGAAAATACCAGAGTTTTCATGCCCGTCATATCATATTATTTTGTTGTATTTACACTTCTGTGTAAAGTTAAGGGACCACATTTTTTAACGAACCAATTTTTTTTGTGTTAGTGACTCGGCAAAACATGTCGTTTTATGGTGCTGGCTTGAGAGGAATATGCAATGATGTCCTCTGCATGACTTTTACTCACCATGTAACGCAGCCCAAAGGTGGAAGGTCATCAACATCCAAAGCATCATCCTTTCAGGTAATGAAAAACAAAAACAAAATATTTCAGAAGATGGCAATCTTCGGATCAACTTGCTTCTTCATCAGATGCAAGCTCCATATAGAGTCTCGGCTTTCTCCAGTTGCATAAACTCATGAGTGGCGGGTCAACGGCCTCTTCACAGGAAATCTTAAAAAGATGCGAGCCGATGATTTACAGCCTCTTTCAAAAATATGTTGACATTTTCAGCATTTTTTGAACAGGGGCGGGGGACATTTTATTGAGTTTTACGTGATAAGAAACAAAAAAAAAAAAAACTGAAAACACGAGGCGGGGTCATGACAAGAAGTGAATATCAGTGGAGCATTTGCCAAAGCAGGAAAAAAAGAAAAAGGGAGGCCAATTACGCAACGACGTACCAGGCACGTATGTCCCAAAACGCAAGAAGGGAATTCATGAAGATCGTGAATGAGTGATCACAATGTTCCGTTTTGCACCGAATATAAGGTGGCAACTATAATAGAACTCACACACAGTTTTCATTCCGTTTTCAGGGGCTACAAGGCTGTAAAAGTTTTTCTTTAACATCCGATACGTCACTGAAAACATTTTTATTCTTAGAAACACCACCCCCCCCCCCCCCCCCTGCACACCACCCCTGCTGCCCCAGCCTCAGCAGAATGTGCAGTGAAATCGCCACATTGAGAGCCTCATTAGTTAAATCTACAAGTTGAGTCAAGCGGACTCTTCATCGATGTCAAAAGTCTTTTCCCACCAGTGGCGAACGGTTCCTCTGGGGATGTTGTCGGTTCAGCCCTTGTTGCAACTGTACTGGCCCAGTTTCTTCCTGTTCAAGACGAGGATGAGGACCACGAGAAACACGATCACACACGCCAAAATAACTGCCACGGGGCCTGCACTGCTTCCGGGGACCGGACTGCTTCCAGAGGCTGCAAGATTCAAAAAAACACAACCGCACAGTCAGAATGGATGCCTCCAAAGTCGATCGAAAACACACTTTCTTTGAATACCCCTGTGAGCTATGAAATTAGCAAGGTCGACGATCACGCCCCAATTCTACACACGACCCTTTCAGAGACAGCAGCGTCGAGAGAAAAAGCTGACGAAAAGGCCAGGCAAAGACAGCAGACAGGAGTCTTGTATAGCCCGCTTTAAGTCATGACGCAACGCCTTCAGATCCATCCATCCATCCATTTTCTATCCTGCTTGTCCTCATTCGGGTCAGGGATGACCTGAAGGCATAACCGGCTGATTTTAGGTGAGAGGCGGCGCACACCTTGGAATGGTCCCTCGCCAAATCCAGGGCACATATCGACTATATCAAGATTCATTTCAGAACTGGACCGAATGAGAAAAAGATCCAGTGCACTTACATTCAACTGTGATGTTCATGGAAGAGTTGCGCAGGAAGACGTCATACGGCTCCAGGTTCAACTCAGCTTGGCAAGTGTAAATTTGGCCGTTTTGGTCTCCGCTCGCCCAAATGGTCAAGGAATCGGAGATGTTGTGCAGGGTCACGTCGATGTCATCCGATGATCGGTCACTATAGCTGACACTTTTTACAATTTCGTCACCTCGCAGCCACTTGACGGTCAACTTGTGCACAGGGGCCACATTGACGATGTCACAAACAAGACTGTAACGGTTGCCCGCCAACATAGGACCAGATTCAGGCTCCACGTAGGCCCTCACATCTGGAATCTCTGTCAATTCAACAAAATGTTGCCATTTCAATCACCTTTTTCTAAAATTCAGATCACGTCGGCGCACCACTCACCGTAAAAAACGATGGGAGGCAGCACGTAACATTTAGTAAGGTCCAACTCGTCAATGTAGCACCGACGTTTGGTGCTCCAGTCTTTCAGAGTGCCATTGACGATGGTCATCAGAAATTCTATGAAGTAGCCTTCACGCGTTTCGTTCCATAACTTGTCCCAGACACGACGAATGTTTGTGTCGCAGCGTTGGGACCCCGGGTCATTCAACTTCTTCATGCTGTTATGATACGAATCCGCTAGAGGGCAGACTAACATTGATACAAACAGCCTGTTAACCGGTGCTTTATATAATATCATATTTTTATTTCTAAAAGCAGATTTAACATTGTAAGCCACTGTAACATTTGACGAACATTAAGAGGGCGTTCAAATAAAGGGGGAAAACTGAATTCAAATCATGCTTCGATTTCAATATATTCCATATAAAAGTTGTATGTAACCAAATCAATATTTTTTTAAAGATGAAACGCAAATGTTTGCAATTTAGAAGTTGATTACCACTTAACTAGAGTCAGCCGGTCATCCTTTCATGTAACACGAGAGAAAGACGACGTACCACTGGCAGTACGAATATCAGTCACACGTTGAGAATCTCCAGATGAAATGTTCACCTGCAAAAAGTTCTGCTTGCGCGGGAGTGACTTTGATGTGATGAATGAAGAAACCCATCCTTTTGCCAGAATGGTCACTGGTGGCCCAACAATTGTAGGCTTGGTTTATGTTGTAATAAGGGATGTCTTTCCACTTGCTGCTCAAAGGAATCGGATCCAGTGCACAGAAGAGAGCGAAATTGAAATCCCGTTGCTCGAAATCCAGAAGAGCTGGAGAAGAAAAGGTCGACGTTATCCAACGCACGCCACTTTAAGGAGTTGCACTCATACATGCACACCTGGAAACTCACACAGCCCGGCAACAACTAAGCCATGCTAGGAAACTTTAGACGCATATCGACTATTGCACACATTCATTTCACAAAAGGGATTGAATCATGAAAAGATTGAGTGGGCTTACATTCAGCTGGGATGCGGATGGAATAGTTGCGGCGGATGACGTCGTATGGCTCCAGGTTCAACTCAGCTTGGCAAGTGTACATTTCTCCGTTTTCTTTGTTTCGCTGAACGGTCAAGGAATCGGAGACGTTAAACTGGGTCACATTGGAATTGTCGATTGAGTGCTCGTGAAAGCTGGCGCTGCTTTTGATTTGGTCGCCTCGCAGCCACCTGACGGTCAAGTTTTGCACCGGGGCCACGTTGATGACATGACAAGTAAGATGGAGACTGTCACTGTTGGCCTCCGAATCCATCGAGACCGTCACATCTGGAATGTCTGCAAATTGAACAAATGGTGTGTTTTTTTTTTTTCCCCATCACATTTTCTCATTTCAATTCTTGTCATTGCTCTACTCACTGTAAAAAACGATAGGAGGCAGAATGTAACATTCCTCCAAGTCTGGAAAATCAATGTAATAATTTTGTTCTGAGCTCAACTCCTCCAATGGGCTGTTGACCACTGTGAGCAGAGCTTCTGTGACTTGTCTTCCCTTTGTTTCGTCCCAAATGTCCCTCTCGCAGTGAACGGACACTGGGTCGAGAGATATTCCCAAGTATTTCGAGTACAAATATTCTGGAGGGCATTGGACAAACAGCGTGTTAACCACTCCATGGCGAAAACAGTAGCAATAGGTGATGGTCTCTATTGGTTCATAAATCAATCAAAAATATGCTAATCACTGAGTGGGTCTGAACAGAACAATTTTGCTTTCTTGTTGAAAAAAAATAAATGGGAATTTAATCCTTTCAGGGACAACGGCTACTACAGTGGACAGCTTATCATGTTATCAGGTTATAGAGTGCCTGAAAGGGTTTTAAAAAAAATTATCTTTCACTATGATGCCTATTGAATTTTGCTTGCTTCTGACATGTACTCGCTCAGATATTGCACTAAGGCGACCACACTCACAAGATGAAAATGATGTGTGACTAATATTTTTGGTCCGTGCGGTGTAGCGGGACGAACGTTCACCTGGTTGACCTGCCACAATCACGGGAGGGGCTTCCATCACAACGATGGTGAGTGGCATCCTTCTGTCGGAACGCTCGCTGGCAACCGTGCAGTTGTAAGCCTGGTGGGTGTCCGGGCCATCGTAGACATGATGGGAAACCGCATTACAGAAGGGGATGAACTCGGGATCCGGTTGTTCTGAATTCGGAACAGCTGGAGAAGCAAAGGTCAACTTTATTGAAATGATGCGTCATATAAATTGTCATCCTATATGGAACATGCAGATCTGGTAAACCGTTGATCACTGGTTTCCATGACATTTTATGGACGAGTAGCACATTTGTGTAGCGAGGATCAAAGGGTGGATGTAACTAGTTACAATTACTCCATTACAATTACTAAAGTAACTTTGAATCCATCTCTGTTGACCTTCCACGCCATGTAGAACAGCAATGTCGTGCGCAGTCTCTCTGCGTTTACCTAAAAATGTCCACATTTCAGCCTACAAGAACTCCACTTGGAAGTTGAAAAAACAAGGTGCGTTTTTTTTTTTTTTTAAACGCAATCCCTGCCTAATAAGATAGATGACGGTACTGTTTCTTGAACCGTGACGATTAATTTGAGGCAATTTTCTGACTTGCTTTATCCTCAGAAGGGTTGCAGGGGGGGGGGTGCTGGAGCCTATTCCAGCTTTCTTCAGGCAGTAGGCTGGGGACACCCTGAACTGGTTACCAGCCAATTGCAGCGCACACACAGATGAACAACCATTCGCGCTCACACTCACACCTCGGGACAATTTAGAGTGTTCAATCAGCCTGCCATGCATGTTTTTGAAATGTGGGAGGAAACCTAAGTACCTGGAGAAAACCCACGCAGGCCCGGGGAGAACATGCAAACTCCACACAGAAAGGCCAGAATCGAACCCTGCATCTTTGTGCTGTGAGGTTGACGTGCTAAGCACTGGACCACCGGGCTATTTTTTTTCCAGTCTCCGGCGGGATTGGAGGGCGTTTCCTCCAGAGCTGCACCTGCCGCTAATCACGATCATTTTCCAGCTGCCTTTAAAAGCTGAGCCATGCCCAAATTGGCTGTCACATTATTCGCCTTGCTTTCGACTCTCGTCTCAAGGGCTAGTTTTCCATCCGCTGGTACCTTGTTCATTCCAACCTAGTACATGCCATAGTTTGTCTCATAGCGCAAGTATAGTTTGTGTGACTTGATTCATAGCGCTCTTTTGTATTCGTCTCGCACATGGATTTTCTTTTCTTTTTTGACAAGCCATTCACGTTGTTGTTGAAAAGAACAACAACACAAGGAGAACAAACAATAATAAAAGACAACAAAAAAATATTGTAATAACTAAAACATAATAGCAAGCCTTCCACAGTGATCATTATCCAACGTACAAACATATTCGCCAGCGGTTCCACTGTCTGGGCTAAAATCTGATCGGCTCTTTGCGGCTATTACAAAGCAGCTCACTTCACTCCCTCTCTCTTTAGCAAAAACTTTGGAACCACGAGCCTCATAATCGCGACATAAAGATTTCTAGATCACGTCAGGAACATTGTTACATTTAGCCGTGGCGTAAAATGGGCTATAACTCATACGGGTCCGAGTCGAACGTTTGGCACACCACCAGCTTCTCAGACAAATAATCACGTCGCTTTTCTGCATGCTTGTGGTAAACTAATTTGCAGGTTTTGTTTTCACCACTCCATTGTTGCTTTCGGTCTTGGTTCCAATTATATTCACGTTCCTCTCCTGACAAAGCGTGCTCAATGTGTGGTTCGGTGGTAGCTATTTTAAGGGATCCCGTCTTGATCCGTCTGTTTTTCACGACATTAATGGCGCAAGTAACGTGCTGTTTTCCTGAAAAGTGCCTCACAACGATTCCACCAGCGATATGCAGTCATGTCCACAACCTTACTGTTACTCACCATGCAACGCAGCCCAAAGGTGGAAGGTCACCAACATCCAAAGTGCCATCCTTACAGGTAATTAAAAAAAAAAAAAAATGATGGTGAAATGAAGAGCTTCACGATATTTGAGATAATCTTCAGGACTTGTAGCCTCTCCTGGATCAGATCACGCCCCGGAGATTCCCCTAACAATAACAAACCCATAAGCCAGAGATAAGAGAGCCAAAACCCTCCTTCCGTCGAAACCTGAAAACAGATGTGAGCCGTCGCGCAGCCGCTGATGGATGATACACGGCCTCTTACAAAGATGAATGAGCATTTTCTGCATTTTTTTTAAGGTCGTTTTATTGCTCTGCATAACAGATGTTACGCGAAATTAAAATGTAAGGTTAAGTCAGGACAGAAATCGCTAAGTGAATGTCAGTGGAGGGCAGCGAAAGCGGAAGGCCAATCGCGTCACCGGGGCAGGCGTCCGCATTCCCTGCCGCGACGGTGACGCGACACATACTATATAGGCTTGACCATCATAACGACCCGTTTCAGTGAGTAGGCGCCTCCCTGGAATTCCGCCCAGTAGACGCCATCCTGGTAGCGACTGCGGTAGTGACCGCCCCGATACCACACGCCGTTCAGGTTGGAGTGGGCGCAAGTGTGGTACCACCAGCCTCCTTTCTGGTAGTGCGCGCAGTTACCTGCGGACGACAGCGACAAGAAACTAACAAACTCCCAAATTCGAGACGATACGGACGTGACGGCAATGTGAACCTGTGTAGCTGTCTCGGTCCCGATCCAGAGTGGTGAAGGCCTTGTTGTTGTGCCACGACAGCGAGTCGCCCGCGTTGCCCCGATACTGACCCAACCGCAATCTGTACCAGTCGCTCTCCGACTCCACCCGGAAGCTGTCGTACTCGGCGAACACCCGTCGACCCTGCCAGTCGTCCAGAACCACCCGCAGCTTGTATTTGGCTTGTTTGGTCAGCCAGTAGAGGTGCTCCAAGCCCAGCCAGTACTCCCCATCTAGGTTCCCAAAGCCTTGCTGCAATACATCGTAAAGGTTGATTTGACCAATATTCCAACAGAGTGAACTCCTCTACAACGAAACCTACATGGGCAAAAATACCCCCTCGTGTGAAAAAATCTTCATGCATAAAACCATTCCCACTTTTCTGCTCCCCCTACCACGAAAAATCCCCCTGTTGCATTATACGAAATCTTTTTCTCTGCTCTTGCCTCGCAACGAGATTCACTACAATGAAAACAAGCCTTCCGCAAAAGTCTAATCCAACTTCAGCCTCCAGCGACTCCTACTGCTTTGCTCGGAAACGGCAATGGCAAACACCACAGTGGCTTACACATGTGCAGTAGTACAGGAAGTATTTGTTAGTTAGTTTCAGACCAGCACGAACGTTGCATTGCTAAAATGGCGACAAAAACTGACCTTTGCAGACCAAGGAGTGAAGAAAAAAGCTTTAACGCTTGAAGACAGGATAAAAGTAATAAAAATGAAAGATGGAGGGAGCAAAGTAAAAGACATTAGAGTACACATACGTGTGTGTGTGTGCGCGTGTGGGTGTGGGTGTTTACATCTGAGATAAATTTGCTATCGTGAAAAGTCCCCTGTTGTGAAAAATGTCTTGCTGCAAACATGATTTCGTTGTAGAGGAGTTTCACTGTAAACAAATGAAATCTACAGGAGACCGGCGGAACGTGAACTACGGTGAAATATTATTTATTTATGACTGCCTTGTGCATTTAAATGTGTAAACTTTTGGTCCCCATAAGTAACCATGAAGTAAACTCTTCAATGACGTAACGTCACCTTATACTGCTCCCAAGTCCTGAAGAAATTGACGGAGCCATCCTGCCTCCGCTGGATGACCGTCCAGCCTCCCTGAGCTTGATTCTGTTCACACCAGGCCTGCAGGAGTCGGTTAGCGCTCTGCAAGCGCAGCAGGTAGATGCCGCTAGTCGTCTCGCCCGATTCCAGTACGTCTTTGCAATCCCGCCACGGCCCTGAGTCGCAAAGGACGAGAAAGAGGGCTCAGCCCTGTGTTTTTTTTGCAATGTCATCATTCACTTCCATGAAGAGCGGAGAAGAAAGAAGAACAGTTTGGTATGAGGGAATGCGCTGACGGATACACCAAGTCACGTCTCCCACACAAATGCCTAATGATCATTCCCAAGGTGAATCCGAGGCCATTTTGCTAGTTAATTTCAAACATTCTGATAAGGGGTGGACGCTGCCATTGACATTGTTTTGGCATTCCCAGAGATAGGACGCTCCGCAAAGCGGGTCACTGACTCCATCGGCATTTGCCGCTCATGCGAGCGCTAACATATATCACGGTAGGCAGACAATAAGCTTTGAGTCATGTTTCATCTGAGTGAGACATTTTAGAGCACGGGTGCCCAAACTTTTTGGACCGAAGATCGACTTTTCGATCAACCAACCCCCTGCGATCGAGCCGTTACTGTGCACACACATACACAAGCACGCCATGACGCGGAGGCACGCGACACACTTTTGCAGCTTGTTAACTATCGTAGCTCACGCGTACCGTTTTAAAGTGCTCCCCTCGGTCCACTAGATTCCCTCCCATTCTGCACTCGTGCCCTCGGTGAATTGTACACGAAACAAACTCTGAATGAGAATAACGATAAAGATGAAAGATATAGCGCAGCAGCTCTGATCACAATCTGCAATTGTAGAGTGCTGAGCGCTAACAACCTCCGGTGACGCAGGTCACGTGCCATCGTAGGTTAAAGATGCTTACCTGCTTTATTTTATTTTATTTTTTTAAATACAGTACTTTTTGTGAACATGAGACCGATAGGATGATTAGGGTGCAGTGTAAATTAACACAAAAAATATATTATTAACATGCACAAAGACACACAAATGGTTGTTTGTTTTTTTTCTCCTCTATGCGATCGACTTGGGACCAGTCCGTGATCTACCGGTCGAACGCAATCGACGTAATGGGCACCCCCGTTTTAGACCATTCATTATACGCTTCCTTAGCAATATATCCTAGCAGCCCCCATTCAGGTACAACAATTCTTATAAGACTGCTGTGGGGGTGTAGATACTGTAAAACCGTATAAGATTGTACATGCCTGAGGTCTTGGTGACAGGGGAGCTAATGACAGGCTGAACGGTCGAAGGACTGGCAGTGGTGCTGGGAATCAGAAGCGCTCCCAAAGGGATGTCTTGTTGTAGAGCACTCTGGTCCCTTTGAAGAGCGTTGCTGATTTCTGAACTGTCATTAAGCAGTGCAGCTGGGCGGCTTTTTGGAGAGTCCATTGGCACCTGTACAGGGGAAAAAAAAAAAAAAATCACTGGAAGTGATATGATGTAAAGGCTGAGTGAAATATGAGAGACCACTTCCTTACCGGGTCAGACTGGGATTCATCTTTACATTGGCACTGATTCTCCAAACGGGCAATCAATTGGCTTTGGGAGCTCATCATGGACGTGAGCGTTCCGTATTTCTTCTCCAGTTCCCGGAAGTTGCTGGACACCTGCAGCGCCTGATGGGATTCCGGCATCCACGTTAGATGTTAGCAAGTTTTTTGAAGATGATGTGGGAAAAAAAAAAAAAAAAAAACAGGAACCGGACGTAAAGGGGATGGGGGCAGAGCTCTGTCATCAGTAATTGACACCCCGAAAATGAGAAGAATTTCCCACATTAATAGTTGAAACTGAAACTATGATCCAAAATACTTGAATAACATTTTGAAGATTACCCTCGAAAATGTGAATGTGTACACATATACATTCCGGGAAGTCTCAGTAACCTCCGCTAATAACCCAGGCTAAACTTAGCTTCTTTAAAACAAACAAAAAGTAGCCTAACATTTTTCCTTTTTGGGTGGTGGCCACCATTTCTTTTCAGTGTAATATCTAACTGAGTATTTGACATTTTCTGGCTGGGCTTATTTAGTTCAAGCCATTCCTTATGGAAGTATTGCTAAAAAAAATATACGTGCAGCGCTATAAAAAGATCAATGATGACTGATCATTTAAGGTGGATAAAATTCTATATTTGACATTAAAAAAAGCAAGAATGTGTTAATTTCATCATAATTATTTGTAAAAGTCAGTGAAATGGCCTGACACAGTAACGTTGTGGCCTTGGGCCATCAGGCCACTTTTAATGTCGAACTCTGTCATGTTCCGCAGAAAAATAGGTGAATTTCATGAATAGGAAACTGCAAACTGCGGGTGTTGACTCTGCTCACATGAGCTGTCGCGTTAAGCAGGAGGCTCTCCACCCTGCGTTGCTCCAAGGCCTGGTCCTTCTTGTGGATGAGCTCCTGCAGCAGCTGGCCGTAGAGCTGAGCGATGCGGGCGTTCATGCCGCTGCTCTCCTTGCGCAGGATTCTCATTTCCGTAACGAAGCCGCTCTCCTGCTGCAGCAGCGTCTGCAGGCTCTCCAGCTGCTCCTGCTGCCGCTTCAGCTCTGCCCGCAACGCAGCCACCTCCGACTGGTTGGCGGCAGCGGCCTTCGTGTCCAAGCACAACGCTCCGGATAGTTTCTGCTGTGGAACGATGAACGTATACGAGCAGCGGCCCGCTTTGACATCTGAGGAAGTTGGTGGATGCTCCTCTGTGGTCTGTCTTATGGATCCCAGGCCGTTGACCCGCAGCAGGTTCAGACTTAATGCCAAAAGAATCAGTCCTATTACTGTTGTGCGCGTCATCTTTGAAGAAGAAAAAAAAAAATGATTCGGGGTCTTTACACGTGATTGTATTTAGATTTAATACGAAGTAGCGATTCAATTGCAACACCAAGTTACATAGCAGGAACGACACTGCACATTGTGCACTTCCGGTTTCCTCCCACATTCCAAAAACATGCATGGCAGGCTAATGGAAGACTCTAAATTGTCCTGAGATGTGATTGTGAGCGCGAATGGTTGTTCGTCTATGTGCTGGTGTCCCCCCATCAGGTGCTACAGTTCATAATTCAAACAACTAGTGGCCAAGGCTGGCATGCCTTTTTTTGTTTTTTTATCCAATTGTGGCTCAAATGACTCCACTCCACATATTCTGCCCGGCAACAACATATGACGCAAGCGAGAATTTGAACTGAAGCAGCTCTGTCCATTTATGGTTTTCTTGAAATCTAAAAAGCCCATTGATTCGAGTGCTAACAAACACCTCCACATGCCTTGTGGTGACCACATGTTTCCTTGCAAGGTGACAACAAACAACAGTGGCAGAGATTTAGTGACTTGGGCGTCCAGAATCAACACACGCCTCCATGTTGCAGTCAGCCGGATGCTTTGTCACAACAGGCACGGTCAACGTCATAAACGCAACAATCACACAAACCCTTCACCCAAAAAGTCCACTTAAGAGGAGTTCACATGTGAACGCCGTGATTTATTTTGATGAGGAAACTACTTTAAATGTCATTGTACTAGCGTATCGATATGAGTATCATTCAAAATGTATTTTAAAAATAATAATAGAGTAGATGTGTTTTCAAATAAAGAGTTCTTTTCCAAATATGAGAAAAGAAATAATGAACAGAAAATAATTGCAAGTGAAAAAGAAATATAAAGAAAAAAAATACATTGACCATCATCTACAAATAAAAGTGTAACATGAATCCTCTTTGGAGGTTAAGCATGTTCTGCCAAGCATTGAACATTAAGTACTATAATTCATTCATTGCTGAGTAATCCAAAACTTACTCTGGTCATTGGTTCTTCAGATTTCAATTGCTCGAATCCAGACAATCCTCCTGAAAACGGTTTGATTTTCTCACTGAATTGCCAAGAGTGTGATCCAGGAGGTAATGTGGATATATGGGGAGAGGGAGAAGAATGACACCCAGCAGCTCGTCCTGCAAGCCCCTTGTTTGTGTGCAGAGGTCACGGCCTGTACAGGATGTTGAATGAAGGAGAAGGATAATTACAAAGAATGTATGCATGCAAAATGACACCTCCTCCGAGCTGCATCCTTACTGGAGGAGTTGTGGGATGCGTCTCCTCCCTCAACGTAAACCTGAAAGGCTGACACACACTAGAATTCCTTTGATGCAACAGTCTGATCACATTTTGTTTTGTAGTTCAATGTGTACTCATATCTAATGTATTTACTAGGCTATAGAGTTGAGTAATTTAACAAAAAGCAAAGAGATATTTAGTGCAGTATTACACCAACACCTACGACCATGACTACTACTACACATAATAATACTAATACAGTACTAATAATAATAATAATACTGTAATGTGTGAACAATTGTCAAATGTAATATGAATGAAGTGAATGTATTGATTGAAAAGTGAGTCAGTGGTTATAAGTCAGAGAATACATTTACTAATAAATGAGGAGAATGTGTTTTGTTAGAAACAGGAAGAAGAATAAAAAATACGTTATTTATAGTCATTATTCATTCTATCACTATTCTGGTTCGCATAAATCTATTACAAATGTAATGTACTGTATTTTTCGTTGGATTTTTTTATTACTTTGGTTTTATTTTATCCGGAAACTTATTATCGTAACACGTTTCTTTCACATGAATAGGAGTTTAAACCACACGATATTGTAGTACAAGCGTATTAATCGACAACGACAACACACACATTATATTATTTTGACAGCAAAAAGTCAAACGTTGGTACAATTATCGAAGCGATAGCTTAGCTTTAGCTAGGAAGTTTACCGATACGCCAAAGTGCATACACGGAAATATTAACAGGTAGCACACAGAAGCACCATGTGGACGGAACAGCGAAGGAGAACTCGGTTGCCTTGTCGGAATTATTCGTGAAAAACAAACAAAGCAAAAAACATTGCCGATATGATCGTTGTACATTCAGTTTATTAAAAAGTAAATTAGATTATTTGGACTTGGACTGTACATTTCGCGTAATCATGGGCAAATCAAAGGTAAGTAATCTCCTTTTCATGTGGTAGCATATTAGCTCTTGAGTTGGCTGTACGTAAACTAGGATATAATTGAATCTACATTTGTATACTAAACAAGACATGTTTGTAAACTTGTGTTGGTAATTTATGTTTGCAGTTACATGCTTGGAAATGTTAATGTCGTGCTACTGTTAAAACCTGTAGCGAGGTCTGCCTGGCCTAAAGGCCTTACTTGTACGCCGCTGGATCATTAGAATGCTTAGTTGTGAATTCTTTTATATTTAGAGCAAGAACCAGAAAAAGTCCCGAGTAGAAGCCCACCGAGCGGCCGAGGAGACGTACCGATCCGTCCCTCACTCGTTTGTCTTCCATCGAGGCCGAGTGGGCAAAAACGTGGCTCAGCTCATCACGGATGTCAGGAGGGTCATGGAGCCCTTCACCGCAGAGCATTTAAAGGTTTGACTTGCTTACATTTGCATCGTCGATGAATGCATCCTCAAATTTTAATCGTCTAAATGATCATCCCTTGAAACCAGGTCAGGAAAAAAAATGTGCTGAAAGACTTTGTAGCCGTGGCTGGACCTATTGGAGTGACACACTTCATCATCTTCAGCAAGACGCCCAGCTCTATTACTATGGTGAGAGGACACAAAAGACACTTGCTGTGAATTGAATAATGGCAGAAATGAACAATAGGATGTCGTAAGAAGTTGCGGGGAAACGGAGTACATGTCTTGGCTGCAAAATGTAATAGATATGTTTGTGGAGAAAGTTTTTTTTTTTAATGTATGGTTAAAAATTCAGGTATAAAATAATTTACATTTTTGTTTCAATGTGACCTTCAAAATAAAAAGTTCCTCCTCTGCATGTAAATTTTTATATTTTTTTGTCATTCTCAGAGGTTGGCACGACTACCAAAAGGGCCCATGCTCTACTTCAAAGTGCTCAAGGTAAATCTTGTGTGTGCCTTAACCATGAGAACAACAAATAGACCGGTGCAAGTGATGACATTTTTTTTCCTACTTGATTTCCAAGTGATGTTTTTCAAAGTAAACGCACTGATGCACGCGACTGTTCATTTTGAATTCATTTTTCACTTGCATTGGTATTAAAAAAAGCCTATTGTTGTCGCAGTACACGCTCGTCAAAGACGTGGTCTCGTCTCTGAAGAAGCACCGGATGCACGGGCAACAGTTCACGCACCACCCGCTGCTCATCCTCAACAATTTTGGATCGGACGGCATGCACATCAAACTGATGGCCACCATGTTCCAGAATATGTTCCCCTCCATTAATGTGCACAAGGTATTATCCTTCTTTTTATATCGATTAAGACTTGCTGACTAATATGATGAAAGTATAGTCTTCCGAGTTCCACAGTGAAGATTTTTCAAAAGTAAACGCTTTCTGATTCCTCAGCCCAACATGCATTTGAGCGTCGCGGTTTTAAAGCGGACTTCTTATGAGGACTGACCATTTTCTTTCTCGCTAGGTGAGCCTCAACACCATCAAGAGATGCGTGCTGCTCAACTACAAACCAGAGACACAGGAAATCGAATTCCGCCATTAGTACGTACACATTCATAGACTCAACTACTGTATTTACTCACGAATGCTCAATATCTGTACCTCATGTGCACTTTTCTTTGTTTAATACGTTTTTCCTTCAATGGGATAATGCTTGAGCAAATTAGTCGCTTTCTCCTCTACGAGCAGAGGTGGGAGGGGTGAGCAGTTGCGAACACAGTGGGGAGGGAGGGAGCAAGATGAAAGAGCTGTGGCCCAACTTTGGTAACACAGACGATGGAGTAAAAAAACAAAAACAAAACAAAAATACAAAAAAAAAAATCCACCTTTTGGGGAGACAGGCTTTTCATTGGACAGCGACAATATTGCAACGGTGTGGCAGCCCAGATGATGACAAACTGCGGACTTGACTGCTCAGTGATGCATGTTCAAAGTAAACAGAAAGAGCTGTGGCCCAACTATGGTAACACAGACGATGGAGTAAAAAAAACCCAAAACAAAAATACAAAAAAAAAAAAAAAAAATCACCTTTTGGGGAGACAGGCTTTTCATTGGACAGCGACAATATTGCAACGGTGTGGCAGCCCAGATGATGACAAACTGCGGACTTGACTGCTCAGTGATGCATGTTCAAAGTAAACGCACTGATGGGATGCCCCCCGCCCCGCCCCCTAAATCACTGACAATATTCTGGCAAGTCCCAAAACCAACGCAAATTTTCCCTGGTTGTCATGCCCTACAGCAGCCTGAAGGTGGTGCCAGTGGGCATGAGCCGCGGCCTCAAG